TTGATTGATTTCTCATTTCAAACAGAACCTCTTTCCACACAGCATTTTCAACGTTGAGGAGTGCTAGGGGCAGTCGCCTTCTGCACTCTCCGGCCTCCAAGGTCGCTCGTACCCTATAAAATCTCTATAATTAATCATCTAAGAGCACAAAAATATGGAAGGAGCTAAGAAGCAATGCCATTTCATCCTAGTCCATGGAGCATGTCATGGAGCTTGGAGCTGGTACAAGCTCAAGCCACTGCTAGAGTCAGCGGGTCACCGTGTCACCGTGCTCGACCTGGCTGCCTCGGGCATCAACATAAAGGACATCAAGGATGTCCATACCATGCATCAGTATACCGAGCCCCTGTTGGAAATTTTGGCTGCCCTGCCCTCGGGTGAGAGAGTCATCCTTGTAGGGCATAGCCTTGGAGGTTTAAATTTGGCTCTGGCCATGGACAAGTTCCCGAAGAAGATCTCGGTTGGTGTTTTCATGACAGCTTTCATGCCGGATACCACTCACCGGCCATCATATGTCTTGGATCAGGTATTGAATTTTCATTGGAATTAAATTAAAATTTTCATCCCATGATTTTTGTGGAGAAGAATTTTCTTTTAGGAACAACAAAAACAACAGCTATTAGATTTAGAAAAATATGACAGTGAGCTTTATTATTTTTAACCTAAAACTAATTTGTAATAGGTTTTTTGTTTTTTATTTTATTTTATATTTATTGCACATATTTTTTTATTGTTTTATTAATATATAATTTTTTCACTTAACATGTTATAGCATCTCATTTAGAGTCTATTTGGTTAGAATATCATTTTATATATAAAAAAAGGTTTTTATTAATAAAGTAATTAAGAAAGTATTATATGAAAATTAGTTAGAAAGTATAATATAAAAAATTATTAAGTTCTATAATAAAATTTTATTATAATTTTATTAAATTATTAATTTTTTTGTATTTGATATAAAATTAATATTAAAAAAATTACTAAATGAGTTCAGTATAAAGATAATTATATAAAAACTTTTTACATTTAAAGTAAATGAAAAAAGAATTTTATATATTAAAAATTATGTTTAAAAAATAAATATTAAAAAACTATTTTTATTTTTTATTATAATATTAATATATAAAAATACATCTATAATTTTATAAAAAAATTTAAAAACTTTAAGAAAGAATTTTTCACCGGACACTCTTAATGTTCCTCTAACTGAATTTTTTTTTAAAATAATGTTATAAGAATAATTTTTTATATTATTTTTTGATATAATTTTTATATATTATTAAATAAATAAATAAATTTAATATTATATGTCTCATATAAATTAAAATAATTAATTATTTAAATAATATGTCAAATTATATAAAAAATAATAAAAAAATTATTTCAAAATCGTTTCTTTTTTATATGCCTTTTGTCAATCAAATTAAGGAAAAAAAAGTTAATTTGTCTTTGACTTTTCTACAAAGTACTGTGAGAGGATCCCTGCAGACGCCTGGTTAGACACTGAATTTGCAGCCTACGGACGACCAGAGCAACCTCTTACAGCAATGCTCTTTGGCGCCAAGTTTTTAGCTTTCAAGCTCTACCAGCTCACCCCTTCTGAGGTACTTACAAACGAATTTTTGTTAAATAAATTGAGTTAAATCCGACTTTTGAAAGGTTTTTTTTTTTTTTTT